ATGATCATAATGGTCCCTTCTGACCTTAAAGTCTATGAGTCTATGAGAAGATAAACAGACTAGGGAAGGATAAAGTAAGAAACCCCCATGCAACAGCAGGAAGGCTGAGGGAGGGATAAGGGGACACAAACCAACCCTTGCAGCAACCAGGAAGCTTCTGAATGAGAGGGATGAACAGAAAAAGACTATTCCTGCTTGCCTCACACAGCAGTTTGGGGACTGGAAGGGGTTGGCCTCTCACCTGGGTAATGACATGGGACAATAGGATGTTCTCACCTTTCACACAGGCATTTGGCTAGTGGGATTAGTCCTTTGTGATGTGTATGGTGAAATTTCACCACTCCTGTGTGTGAGCAGGTGTGTAGTAGTGGGTGCATGGATGGGTGTATAATACGAGAGGGCACAGGACGGAAGTGAGAGAAGAAAGATGAGAGAAAATGTAAGGGCTTCAAATCAGCCAGAATAGGGATTCAAATCTGGATCTATAGGCGTGCCCTAATTACTAGGCCAGGGCTACACACACGCCCACAATGACTGTCCTTATGTAAGGCTCAATCTGGTGGACTCAGGACATGCCTACTGCATTGGGCCCTGCAGGGGAGATAGATGGGGAAAAGCCTAGCTTGAGAATCCTGCCAGCACTTAGTTGCCAAGTGTCAGGACGTAGGTGGCTCTGCTTGTGCCCAGTGGCAGAAGCTTAGGCACCTAGGAACTTCAGCTGGCAGTGGAGCAATGTTTTTTGTGATGAGAGTGGGCCTAAGTGTTGGTCTTAGGCACCGTAAGAGGGAGTTAGCCACCTAAGTCCTCTTGTGAATCTAGCCATTGGGGTGTGTGTGTGTGTGCGTGCGTGCCTTCCTGCTGTTCATTGTTCATGAGTTGTCATACTCAGTGCTGATAGTATTTGCCGCATGCAAATGAGTGTGCCAAAGGAGAGACATGTTTCTCTGATTGCATAGACCACCAGAGAGATTGAACAGACTATGCATCATAGTACTGACTGTCAGATTTTTCCACTTCAAAGATGCTTCTGAATCATACTACTGTTTTGTATCTGTGCACACTACTGCACGATGAACTAGAAAATGCTGCTAATACTATGCAGGTACTGTTTGTTCCCCACTATGTGCTTGCAGCACTTTGTCTATAGGAATGTATCACTTCACCAGGGCTTGTGGATCTTACACAAATGAGACCTTTGTGAGGGTCCCCCTGTCCATTACTATTTCAGCTATTGCCAGGAACTTCAATTTTTTTTATGGAAGTATGTAGGTACTAACAACTGCCAGGTAATGTATCAGAACCAGCATTGTACACTTCTATATAATCTGATGCTGACCTCCCACTATTACAATGGACTGGCATATGGTTTCATATCAAAAGGACACCTTTTACTATTATTACTAAACTATTTAATTTGTCATACCTCGATGCATCATAAAAACCAGTGATGCTGGGGCTAAGCAAGCACAGATGTTGCCTTATGGAGTATGGGAAACTTGCCACCCTTATCTTATGTGCATGGCTGCAGCGTGCACCTGTACAGATGGCTACTAGCGCACATGCCCTGTTGAATGAGCGTAATTTCCTGGACGGTCGGGCCTGGTACTCATGTGCAATCACTGCTCCCTGGGTTCCTGTGCTTCCAACCATCATGGTTCCACAAACAGCCCTGCCTAACCCAGTGTCCCCCGTACCCTGGTGTGCCTCACCACCCTACCAGCTGCCCCAATACCAGCCCCTGCTGCAGCCCCCAAATACCCTGTGGCCCTGATTCCTCCCCCATGCCCCAAACCCTGCAGCTGCCCCCAAATACCCTGGAGCCCCCGATTCTCCCCCCCACTGCCCCAAGCCCCTGCTGCTGCCCCCAAATACCCTGGAGCCCTGATTCCTCCCCCCATTCCGCAAACCCCTGCAGCTGCCCCCAAATACCCTGGAGCCCCGATTCTCCCCCCATTCCCCAAACCCCTGCAGCTGCCCCCAAATACCCTCCCTCCCCACCCCCAACCTCAAGCCCCTGCCCCAAATACCTGGGGGCCCCATTCTCCCCCCAGTACCCTGGTGCTGCCCCGTCAGCACTTCCCGCATCCCCAGGCCTGCCGGGGGCGGTACCTGGGCCAAGTCCCCGCAGCGCCGCCTGCTCCCGGATCCAGGCCTCGCTCAGCTCCAGCTGCAGCGCCATCCCCGCCTTGTTGCCGGGCAACGCAGCCAAACACCCACAGAGCGCGCGCGCACCCCGCACCGCGAGCGAGCGCCTAGGACAAGGCACGCGCAGAGATCGGACAATGGAGGGCGCGCGCAGCCCCGCGACAGGGCCCGTTACTGGAACCTCAGTCCAGCCCCCTCCCTCCCCGCCCCGCCCCGCGCGGGAAGAGGGGCCGCCGCCTTCGCCATGGTATGAACCATGAAGGGGGAGGAGAGAGCGGCCCCCATGGGAT